CTGCCCAGACTTGCTAGCAGATTCCAAAGGAGACGATAAACCAATACAGTTTAGTACCAGCCATCCATCCACTTTAGGGGCTCCACTTCGGGTTTGAATTCAAAGTTGTCCATATCCTAGACCAGTTGCCATCCAAGACTATAGAACCCAGTCTGTCCTGCTATTTTACCATAGCTGGAGGGAGGATTCACACCTTTCCCAAGGGTATTAGCACGTAAGTGAATGTAATGGATTCGACTGGAATTAGAACTCGGCTCTCCGATTCCTCAATCCAAGCTGCTATCCATTACTCCACCATGCCTCCTCTCTTAGTTGGGTAACCACTCGGGAATAACAGGAGCAGTAAGCTAGGATGTGTGGGTAGGGTCATGGATAATGACTTGGAATTGTTAATCAAAAAGCCAAGTTACAATTTTCTATTGATTTTGTTATATGCACTAACACAAAAATAACCTTGAAAAAGGTATGACTTTGCCTCTTCTCTCCCAAGCTATAGGTTAATTAGTAATACTTGTATCACTAAATCATTATTATTTCCTCAAAAAAATTCATACAATCTAAAAATATTTTCCAAATTGAAACAACCTGCAAAGGGTTAAGCCATAAAAAATGAATTATGTCTTTATTATCTATCTCTGTCTATCTAAATCTGTTCATATCTATCTCTGTCTATCTAAATCTGTTCATATCTATCTCTGTCTATCTAAATCTGTTCATATCTATCTCTGTTCATTATTTATCTATCTCAGTCTGTTCATTATCTATCTCCCTCGACCTGTTCATTTCTATCTATCTGTATCAGCCTGTCCATATCTACCTATCTATCTAGCTATCTATTTATTTATCTATCTATCTATTTTAAGACATTTTTTTTTTGTTTATACATTCTTTTTATAGATACAAATAAACGTATAAACATAAAAAAAAATTGTCTTAAAATAATTGTCGGACTTTGTCCATTTCATAACGTGTGACTATCTATCTATCTATCTATCTATCTATCTATCTAAATCTGTTCATATCTATCTCTTTATCTATCTCAATCTGTTCCTATCTATCTATCTATCTATCTATCTATCTATCTATCTATCTATCTATCTGTTCATTATCTATCTCTCTCAGTCCATTCATATCTATCTATTTATTTGTATCCGCCTGTTCATATCTATCTATCTATCTATCTATCTATCTATCTATCTATCTATCTATCTATCTAAATCTGTTCATATCTATCTCTTTATCTATCTCAATCTGTTCCTATCTATCTATCTATCTATCTATCTGTTCATTATCTATCTCTCTCAGTCCATTCATATCTATCTATTTATTTGTATCCGCCTGTTCATATCTATCTATCTATCTATCTATCTATCTATCTATCTATCTAAATCTGTTCATATCTATCTCTTTATCTATCTCAATCTGTTCCCTATCTATCTATCTATCTATCTGTTCATTATCTATCTCTCAGTCCATTCATATCTATCTATTTATTTGTATCCGCCTGTTCATCTATCATCTATCTATCTATCTATCTATCTATCTATCTATCTATCTATCTATCTAAATCTGTTCATATCTATCTCTTTATCTATCTCAATCTGTTCCTATCTATCTATCTATCTATCTATCTATCTGTTCATTATCTATCTCTCTCAGTCTATTCATATCTATCTATCTATTTATTTGTATCCGCCTGTTCATATCTATCTATCTATCTATCTATCTATCTATCTATCTATCTATCTCCAATAAAGCCACAACTCATCCTCATCATAAAAATCAACATTTTATAATTGGTATTCCCCATTAAATCTTTTCCATCAATGCACCTTCTGTCGGCTTTCTTAATCTCAGCTTTGTATCTCTTTCATTTTCACCATTCCCTCACCACTGCATTTAACCTGCTAGTCAAGATCTATTTAACTTTATTAATTGATTCCACGTGTTCTGATAAAAGCCTAATTTTTTGCTACAGGTTCCTGCCTGACCCCAGTCTCCTTTCGAAAGGTTTAACAACTGTCTAACTTTTTAGTCATCAGAAAATTAGATTCCAGGCAATTTGTTTGAAAAGAAAAAAAAAAAAGGTTTCATTTTTCCAGCTTTGATCTCTGCTTTTCTTGGATTTATCAGAATCTTCCGAGATTAGTAAAATTAGGTTCCGTTGGGTGGCTGATGTGGGTGCAGACATCCTTTGATGCCAGGAAATATACTCTGGAAATTTACATAGAAATCTAAATTGAATTTTAATTTATTAAATTTTAATTATATATTATTACTCTATTAATCAAAATTGATTATTCATTTATTATTTTAACTTCATTTATTTTAATTATCAGTTTACTCAAATATTTGTTTTTACTAATTTTTAGCCAAAACATGGCCCTTCACTCATTATAGAGGGTTAATGTGTGGTGTTATATTATCATAGGAAAGGACAAGTGTTAGGAGGACAGAGCTGAGGAAGATTTTAGTTAGAAGGAACTGGAAACCCAATCCTAATCAGGAAACAAGGGATAAGCCTCTATTCCTGTTGAAAAGATTAGGAAGGAGTGTGAACCTGATGATAGGTGAATCAATCTACTCGAATTTGAACCTATCTATTCCAACATTTATCGTAAACTTTAAAAAATCTCCAAAAATCATCCTGCTTCTACATCATTCCTTCGGTTTATCCTGACACCCCCTAGATTAAGTATATTTGATTATAAATGATTGCAAATCAAAATTATGTTAAAATATTAAAGACTTAGTTTTGATGCAGTAGTTCCCTGATGACGAAGTTTTACAGAAAATGGAAACAAAAAGGACATATATACTTGACATTAGAAAGAAAGAAACACTTAAACTTTTCCCAGGCACATAATCAGGAACAAGGGCTTGGAAAACTTAATAGGACATATTGAAGGCAAGAGGGTCAGAGAAAAGTTGCAGATATCCTACCTAACAAGTCCGTGTAAGTAGTTGGCAAAACAGCGATTAGTAAAGATAGAAAAAAGACAAAATTTAGTAAGAGCTACAAAGGATAAGAAATTGTGGAGAGCCATGATCACCCCTGTCTTGAATGGACACAGTACACAGAAGCACTTCCCTGATGACCCCAGAATTACATATATATATATATATATATATATATATATATATATATATATATATAAAAAAAAAACAGACCACTTTAAGGTAGCATTATAATAATTTATTTCACCAGAGTCCTTTTAAAGGATGCCGGATCATCAGATAGCACTTCCAAAAATGAAATGAAATGAAAAATGAAATTAAAATTGATGGGTAGTGTAAGTTTTTTGTAATTTAACAGAGAGTGTAAAAGGGATAGTTAAAGAGACATGGTAGAGTATAGGGAGGATATATATATATATATATATATATATATATATATATATATATATATATATATATATATATATCCTCCCTATACTCTCTCTCTCTATATATATATAGAGAGAGAGATACTTTTAAGGTGTGCTATGTTTATGGGATAAAGTGCTCAATATCAGAGATAGAGCATGTGTAAATATATATATAAAAGTGAACATTGAAGTCAACACTCAGGACAGGCTGTTTCATACTAGACACAATCGCCAGGTGGCCTGATGATTGCATTTAGCATGAAACAGCCTGTCGCCTCTAAGTGTTGACTTCTATGCTCACTTTCATATTTATATATACATTCATACATATATGTATGATTATAAATGATTAAATTAAGATTATAAATCAAAATTAAAATATAAGAAAAAGACTATATAAGTGTTGTGGCCTTGTAGGGCCAGAAATAAAGACACAAAGAAAGAAACTGTGTTAAACAAATATATTAGCAGAAACAGTAATACAACCATATACAAACAAGAGTGTTACAGCAAGAATGTTCGGCCCGACTGTCAGAGCTGGCTGCTGGAAACTTCTCTCTCCAAAAGGCAGTACCTGCTCCTATATATAGCTGGGAGAGTCCATGCGTGTGTGGGTAAATTAGCATAACAATAAGTATGGATGAATCATCTATTGAATGGTAATGGTAATATTAACTGTTTCCTTATGAGGAAACATCTGAAATGTCAGTTGAAATTTATAAAATCTTTCTCTTAAAGCCATCTTTCAGGAAAATAGGTTTCTCAAGTCCAGTTGGAGTCCTCAACAGACATGTAAGATTCTGTCAGCTTATACAGTTCCTTTATTAGATCAATACATTCAGGTATATAATTTCCTATTAGAAAGGTAAACAATTTTTCAAGTTATTATATGCTACCTATTTTAGTTGTTGCTGATGTTGAAATATCTCAAGTGATGTTATTTCTGTTACTTGGTAAAATTCTTTGGGATTCTATAGTGCCAGACCACAAAGTGCAAAGACGGTTTTCACCAAGACCTATAGATTTCACACACTCAAAGCCATATTTAAATATGATTAACTTTTTCATAAATATCCCCTACCAAATTATAATAGTGTGTTATATGCTAGTGACTGTTATACATCAGAAATATTGTATGTTCCCATAACAATTATTTGATGGATGGATTTGTTTCTTATGGTTTATCAACCTTTTGCAGGTTATTTAAAGCCAGAAAATATTTTTAGATTGTAAGAATTTTTTTGGCGAGAATAATGAATTACTGATACAATTACACCACCCACACATTCAAGCTTACAGCATCTGGTATTCTGAAATGGTCACCCATCTAAGTACTGACCAGGATTGATGTTGCTTAACTTTGGTGAGCTGATGAGAACCACTATTTGAATGTGATCTGGGCATAAGTTTCTACGACGATGTCCAGTCAGAGAAAAACTTTTAAAAAAACAGCTTTTATTTTTTTATTTTTTTTTTTTTTTGACATTTTCATGTGATTCTGACTTTTAAATATTTTTCTTTCTTTCAAATTTTATCTCACTTGACTTCTCTCTGTCCCTCCTCATCCTTTCTTATTTTCCCTTACCTCTTCCTTCTTGGTACTCACTCTCTCTCTCTCTCTCTTCCTTCTGAATGAATTTTGTCATTCTCTCTCTCTTTCTCTCTCTCTCTTTCTCTCTCTTTGTCTTCATTTTGAGTCCCCCTCTCTTACTTTTTAATTTCTTTTTCTTACTTTCTTACTTCTCTACACAGTTCCTGCTAATTCTCTTACCCTCTTTCTTTCCCTCTCCCTCTATCCTACTACCTCCATCCAATTTCTTATTCTTTCTCTCTTTTATTTTTACCTCTCTCTTTTTAGTTAACCACTTTCATATTTTCTTTCTTTTGTTAATTCCTAGTCTTCCACTCTCTCTCTTTCTCTCTATTTATTTATTTATCTATCTATTTGTTTTCATTCAACTCAATTTTATACTCTTTCTCTCTCTCCTTTTTTTTTACTTTTCACTCTCTTGTTTAGTCAACCTCTTTCTTTCTTTCTTTCTTTCTTTCTTTCTTTCTTTCTTTCTTTCTTTCTTTATCTTTAATCTTCTTTACATTTTCCTCTCTCTCTCTCTCTCTTACTCTCATCCAATTTCCAAATGTTTCTTTCTCTCTTACTTCTGACTTTCTCTCTCTCCGTTTGTTTGACCAGTCTCTTTCCTACATTCTCACTCTCTTTTTCTTTCTACTCTTCTTTAACCTTTAACTCCTTTCAGCTTTCTCCCTCTCTCTCCCTCTCTCTCTCTCTCACTCTTACATCTTATTTCATACTCTTTTTTTCTCTTTTACTTCTTCTTTCGCTGTCTTTCTCATCTTTTGTTTTTCCTGACAAAAAAAACTTCCTTTTCTTTAATTCTAAAAGTCTTAAAAAGAAATGACTGAAATTCTTCAATCTTTTCCTTTTTTCCCTATTTTCCTTCCTTTTTTATTCATTTTTTAATCTCTCGTTTGTTTCTCTCTTCTTTCTTTATTTTTTCCCTGCCCCTCTCATAACAAAGAATTACTGACACGTCTTAGATAATCAGCTTTCTCCCCAACTCTACCAAACACCTTAAGCCCTTGAAGGCTAAATTGCTAGTAAACCTGATCCATCACACTCTTCTCAAAATACCTTGGCACCACCAATGCCTCTTGGAGTGGGAAGCAATTGGAATAAGCCTCTTTTCCTGAGAACAATTAGGATTCGTATTTTTGGCAGACATCTTGACACTTTTCAGAATGGCACGTGATCTGCAATGAAGCCTCATTAGAATTGGTCACAAATGCACAAGGTTTTTTTTTTTGTTTTTGACAAGCAAAAGGATTTAATACACCTCACATTTTTTTTAATTTTACTTCCTTTTCTTCTTTTCATAATCTTACTTCAAGCTCAATACACAGACTCTTTTTTTTTTTTTTTTTTACATTAGCAACATAGCAGCCAAATACCTGTGCATAGCTTTCATGAAAAACAATCTACTAATTTTTATTGCTTTGTTACTATCTGAACACTTATTATTGTCACTTTTATCATAACACTCTCAAGCAATAACTTTTAACTACTAATGTAAGCAATAATAAAACACAACAATTATAAGATGGCGTGAAACAATAAAATAATAATATGCTCTGTACTATGATTACTACTTAATTAGCCATTTCCTTCTTCCTCCTTCAATCGTCTTCAAATGAACATTTGATATTCAGTGCCATATTTTTCAGTGGATAAGGTATGTTTTTTTCCCCCAAATTTGATGAAAAAATTGTTTGCATCCTGTACACTGAACGTAATATATATATATATATATATATATATATATATATATATATATATATTTATTAAAAACATTTTTTTATGTTTAACGTTGTTATGTTATTTTAAACATAAAAAAAAATGTCTTTAATAAATAAATTGTCGGACCTTGTCCATTTCTTAATATATGACGTCATTTGTTTACATTTGATATGCCAGAGCAGTTATGAATGTACGAGATTCATGGAAGATTGGAGTTTATAAGCAGTAAATTCGACCTTGTCTACCGAACGGTTCTTTTGTAGCCCAGAGGTAAGCAACGCCAGCGTATATGACGGTTCCGTAGTAGGATGCAGGTTCGAATCCTGTCAAAGAACAAATATTTTCTATGAAAATTTCTCGGACATTCAGGCCGGTAAATGTTATTTAATACTGTTTATCATAAACAGAGCATTTGCTTAAATACTTGTATCTATAAAATAACAACGTTAAACATAAAAAATGTCTTTAATAAATAAATTATTTGACCTTGTCCATTTCTTTATATATATATATATATATATATATATATATATATATATATATATATATATGGTAATGATACAATATGGTAATCCGTATGGAATTTCCAGGAGGATATAGATCCAGGGAGAGCTCTATGTCAAAAGACAGAGCAAAATTATTATTAATTAAAGAATATCAAACACTTAAAATATGTATATATTTGTGTATTTCGGCAGCAATCTTTCTTTCATGCACATTTCATTGAATGCAACAGAGAAGGTGCTTTTATTTAGTTTTTTATACAATTTCTCATGTGATCTAATAATTTTTTTCTTTTTGGATGATGAATTATATAAAAACTGTCCAATTGTTCTTTTTATCTAAGCAATTTCAGCTATAAATTTAGCCATTTTAAAGGTTGAAATATATTAACTGTTAACAAGAAATAGATTGTTGTATGTATGTATTTATATAATGTTTTCATTTTCAAAACACGGTCAAGATATTGTGTCCATTTTCATAGTTAATATTATTGAGTGTTGTTTTTTTTTGTTTTTATTAATAAGGATTCCATTATTTTTAGCCTTTTTTTATATGTAGACGATGTTATTATATTTGGGTCACAAACTCACATCAATCCAACCAAATATATATATATATATTTATATATATATACATATTTGTGTGTGTGTGTGTTTGCGTGTGTGTGTGTATATATTTATATATTTGGGCCCCTTTTTCACTGGTCATTCATGAAGTATGTTAAGATCTATTTTTATTTTAATCATTTCACTCCAAGCAAAGCAATAAAGCCACTAAGATGCAAGGGGTTACTGAGTGTTAGAGAATATGAGAAAAATATACTATTAAGAAGAGAGGACAATAAAAGAACAAGTATTAAGAAGACAGAAGATAAAGATTGACATTGCATTTAAATTTTGAAGATCAAACTTGACTGGAAAGCAAGAAGCTGGAAGAGAGTTCCACAAGCAAGAAGTGCGATGGAAGAAACTGTTAGCATAGAACTTACAGTTACATCTAGCCATTTCAACAGTAAAATGATGAGACCTTGCCACAAATCTAATCAATATTAGCTTTATAAAAGAGAATGACAACTAACTGAATATGTAAATTTTTGATTATCCTTCATCGCAGTTGTTCTAATGAGCTTTCCTCCTTGGTACCTCAAATGCATGAATTGGCAGTTAGGTCTCATTGTTTTACGGTTGAATTAGCTAGATGTAACTATAAGTTTTATTTTGATAATTTCTTTACTCACACTTTCACAGGAAAAAAGGAACCTCACCATAAAGCAATGGTTAGCAAACTAGTCTTGAAGAAATTAGTCTTGTAAATTTTTATTAGCCAAATGAGGGTGATTATCATTGGGCACCTCACAAAATCTTTAATTATTTGGATTCTAATGTTTAAGTTGTATAGATGGTTTTAAATCAATTCACCCCCAAGTAAGGCAATAAAGCCACTAAGATGCAAGGGGTTACTTAGTGTTAGAGAATATGAGAAAAATATACTATTAAGAAAAGAGGACAATAAAACAAGTATTAAGAAAACAAAAAATAAGGATTGACATTGCATTTAAATTTTTGAGGTTCAAAGTTGACTGGGAAGCAAGAAGCCGGAAGAGAGTTTCACAAATGTGAAGTGCGATAGAAGTAACTGTTTGCATAGAACTTATGGTTACATCTGGCCATTTTACCTGTAAAATGATGAGACCTTGTCACCAGTCAAATCAATATTAGCTTTATAAAAGAGAATGCCAACTAACTGAATATGTAAATTTTTGATTATCTTTCATCGCAGTTGTTTTTACAAGCTTTCCTTCTTGGTACCTCAAATGCATGAATTGGCAGTTAGGTCTCATTGTTTTACTGTTGAATTAGCAAACAAGAAGTGTGATAAAAGAAACTGTTATTAGGCTGGTTGGTTGTCTAGTTTTAGCGGTATGTCAACCTCTGTGGGTTAGTTAATGCTGAAATCTAAATATTTCAAAGAAAATTTTTATTTTATTTTTTGGTAATAATTTTATAATTTTTTTGGGGGTTGGGGGAGATAATAATAGTGTAGTCATACAAGTTTTACTAATTAACCCATAGCTGGGAGGAGAAGTTTTGGATTCATACCTTCTACAAGGGTATTTGCACACAAGTTAATATAAGGAACACAACTGGAATTGGGACTCATTTCTCCAATTAACAATTCTGAGTCCTTATCCACTACACCACCTGCACACCCATGCTTACAGCACTTGATATTCCTAAACAGTCACCCATCTAGCTACTGATCAGGATTGAAGATGCTTAACTTCAGTGATCGTAAGGGAACCAGTGTTTCAACAAGATGCGACTGTAAGCCAATAAAATGTCAACTTGATGACACAAATATGAATAATTAAACATGGCTGCCAAAAAGTAGAGGATATTTAAGCTAAGAGAAATTTTCTTATTAAGAACAGTGACACTTTTTAAATAATTCTAATGTTTTATTAATATTCCATTCTCAGAGAATTTGTTTTTGGTTCCTTTTTGTCGATTTCAGCAATGGAAGAAGAGCCTGAATGCTAATAATCCATTGACAAGAAAGAATTTATGAAAGAGAACTTTTATTAATTTCAATGAAACACGGATTTCAAGAGCTATAACGATTTCATTTATTGGCACCCTGATGCTCAGTAAGAATTTTTGAGAGAAAAAAAAATTATATGATTTGTAGCCCTTTCTGTAGCATATTGACCAACTTACATTTGAATAAACACTTTGAATTTTTAGCAGTGACAACAAAGAATTGATTGAACTGTAATTCATCAAAATATGAACCATTTTTATTCTTTCAATACCTTTCATGCTTTCAAAGTGCTTGTACAATGTTGGGTTTTTTTATTATAAAGGTTTTGATCAGCGGAAAAATATTTTCTGCTTTTAACTTCTGTGGTTCAATTTTTTCAAAACAAGGCAATATATCAACTGAAAATAATCTCGTGGAATTTTTATTTTTACGCCCTTAGTTTATTTTCTACATCTAGCCAAATTTCAGCACCCCCCCCCCCGCCACTAAAAAAAAAGGCATTTTTCTTAGTTTTATATCCCAAACATCTGAACCACTTAAAATATATATAAAATGAGACCAGATATGACTTATTTGTGCAGAAAACTGCAAAGGTAGAAATATCTTCTTAAATACCAAAATTATTTGTATTTGAATTGATGTTCCCATTCTGTTGTTATTATTACAATTTTTTAGTTGTTATGCACCCCACCCCATCTTTTTCTGGTGTTTTTTGATCCAGGTTACATTCAGGAAACTTCAAACTGAAGACTATTTAATCTAATTAGATATATTGTTCTCATTCTGCTGTCTACGTCTAGAGATATCCCATCTTGTTCTTATTCAGTACAACTCAGTTATTGCTCACCCTGTTTCCGTTGAGTGGCATGGCAGGTCTTAGCTGTAAAGTTCTGAACTGACGGAACTAAGGACTGTAGCTCAATCTGAACATTTACCACAAAAAACAGCAATGGAGTAACAATATGCTTACAACACTAAGTGACTAGATGTTATTTGGAAATGAGAATAGGCCCTTGGTAGAAATCTGGTGGCAACAAGGGCTCTTCAGAAAACACAATGAAGAAAATAATACCAAATAGTAGCTATAAAAGAAAAAATACCCCTTTAGATTTCCCTGTCACCAATTGAAGCCAAGATTCTATTCCAAGTGATTTGATTGGTCAATTAATTCTGATCATGTGATATGTAAATATAACAGCATTCCTTAAAAGAAAATAAGGAAGAGAAAGAGAGAGGTTTGTTGTTTTGAACCCACTCCCCATCTACTTGATAGCAGGAGGTAAACTAAATTGTCTTTTTTTTTTTAACACAATTTAGCAGGCAATATAAAGCATTACAATAGGGGCAAATCAAGATCTTTTAGACGTGGAGGATCAGATTACCTTTGTGCAAGAAGGTGGTAACAGCCTGTGGGATTGGTACTGACAGGGGTGAGGTGGCAACTGCATTCAGAAATTTGGGTCATTGGTAAACTCTGCCCAGACAGTTAATTGTAGATTTGTGCAATGTGTGTAAAGCTACATAATTAGTTAAAAAAAAAAGAAAAAGAAAAGAAAAAAGCCAACACATTTTAGTGTTAAATGGTATGTTTTTTTACTTTTTGAGTTTGTTTCCATTGGGTGAAATTTAGAATGATAGCTATGTTAAGTTCGTACTTTTAAAACATAAATGATGAATTTAAATCCTGGGAAACTTGCTCCTCGGTAAGCAATATTCAGTTTTCAAGATGAGGAATTATCATTCTTTATACTCTTTATATTAGGACTAATATCCTCATCTGTGTTCAATGTATTACATTTACAACAGAGAGAAAATGAGGGTGATTTGAAAACTGCATATGTCCAAACAGTAAATGTCTATAATGGTAGGACCAATGAATGTAACTCATCTGAACATTTGCCATGGAAATAGCAATAGCATACATTGCACTCTGAAGGTATGAAGAATATCTATCTATCTATCTATCTATCTATCTATCTATATTATTTACATTATTTGGACTATTGTCCTCATCTTTCTTGCCATATTTATTACAACGCTTCGGCCGTTGTATGCTCCAGCCTTCTTCAGGTGGTTGGAATGTCGAACTGAACCCTTTATTTCGCTCACTGGGGTAGACTGTTTTAGTTCCACTGTTTAGTTTAATGGATGTCAGTTATCAGTTATCTCCTGTTAATTTCCCTCTGAAAGTTCTCCACTGCCTTAACTGGGTATTGAACTCACACTCTTTGGATCCTGTCACTGGATCTAACCAATGCCTTTATCCACTGTGCCATGTGTCCTCAAGGCAGTGGAAAACTTTCAGAGAGAAATTAACAGGGGATAACTGATAACTGACATCCATCGAACATGGCACGTGGAACTAGAACAGTGAGCGAAATAAAGGGTTCAGCTCGACAACCACCTGAAGAAGGCCGGAGCACACAATGGCCGAAATGTTGTAATAATATGGCGACAAAGATGAGGACAATAGTCTGAATAATGTAAATAGTGTACATAATACCTCATCTCAGAAATATAGACAGATACTATTATCTATCTATCTATCTAACTATATATATATATGTGTGTGTGTGTGTGTGTCTGTGTGCATGTGTACGTGTGTGTGTGTGCATGTATGCATGTATGTATGTGTGTGTGTGTGTATATATACAGGGTGCGATGGATAAATTGTCATCTAAATTACACAAAAATGAAAATAACATAGACATCTCATTTTAATACACACATTTACCAAAATTACTCAAAAATATCTTGAAATACTAAAGAGTAAATTTATTCAATAAAATCAACATTGGTTTCAACTATGGCCTCCAGACAACTATGGAATCTCTTGGATGATCTCCTTGTTTAAGTTGGTGAATGCTGCCATAATCCTTGCCTTCAGTTCATCTTTGGTGTTGCAAGGAGTTTTGTTGTCTCAACTGCAACCCACACATAATAATCAAGAGGGTTGCTGCCTGGGGAGTTAGGTGACTAGATGTAAGGGGTGATGTGGTTGGAGAAATTGTCTGGCAGCCATGACTGGATTCTCCTGCTTGTGTGGCATGGATAAGAGTCCTGTTGCCAGACATAGGGTCTCCCAGCAGACTATTTCGGTTTAGTCACATGGAAAGAAGGGAAAAGACACTACTTGGTTTCAGTGAGAAAATGAAAGAAAGAAGGGAAGATAGAAGTAGAGACAGAGAGAATCAGATTAAGTGGATAAGAACAGATACTACATTTTCATCTTAACCAAAAGGCCAAGAAGGTTATTTACCTCACCACCACCCCGAGAGGCAGGATGTGGCACAGGGTTGTTATTTAATGCGGGGTAAAGCCGAGCCCGTAGGTTCAGGCAAAAATTCCCCATAGACCTCATAAAAACAGGGTTGGGTAACTGTCTACCACACCAGATGAGACTGCCCTTTGGCATGGCCTTATCTGGGTTCCTCTCTGCTCGAAGACAAAGAGTTCGACTAGCTTAGCTGGAAACGAATCTCCAACTAATTGCCGAAGCAAGCCCATAATAACTAAATCTATGAGTGATTTTTCAAGTGTAGCTTAGATGTAACACAAGACCAAAAGTATGGGGCACCCAGTGAGGATCAAACTAATTATTCAGTTGTTAACGTTCAAGCAAGACAAGCTTGCTAACCGTTACACTGCCTCGAGTGTGCCCTAAGCTTATTTTCTAAGAATAGCTTAGATGTGGCATAAGACAAAAAATATGGGGCACCCAGTGAGGATCGAACTCACTATTCACTTGTAACTGTTTTTGTGAAACAAGCTTGCTAACTATTACATCACGCCAAAGTGCCCTCAAAAGGCCAAGAAGAGTTGGTGGTGCAATAAACGTGCCATTTTCTAGACCCACAGTGCCAAAACTGAGTAAGGCAATCGCCAAAAAAGACAGTTACCATAAATAAAATAAGATTGTCTACTGAATTATCTTTAAATTATTATTAAAAGAAATGTTTGTAAGCTGGAGATTTGGCAAGAAAGAAGGGAAGATTGAAGTGCTTAACGTCTTCTGCCAGTACTTCATAAATAATAGACTATTCTGTTTTGATTGTATTGAAAAACAAAACATATCTGCTATTTCACTTAAGCTAAAATATTTAACGATGTGTTAATTGATATTTACTTAATAGCTCTGTTTACATCAAGCACTACTTTATTAACACCAGCACTCAATATATATATATATATATATATATATATATATATATATATATATATATATATATATGAAAACTGTGTGTATATATATATATATATATATATATATATATATATATATATATATATGTGTGTGTGTGTGTATATATATTATTATTTATATATTATAAGCATGGTACTTATTAGAAAGCACTCAATATCAGAGATAGAGCTAACATATTTGGTTGGATGGGTGTGAGTTTGTGATTGTCAGACAATTGTCTGACAATCGCAAAAGCATGAAACCCAGGGTCACAAACCCACATCAATCCAACCAAATATGTATATATATATATATATATATATTTCGGGAATGCTATATTTATGGGTAAAATTGCTCAATATCAGGAATAGAGTATAAGTAAATATAAAAAATATAAAAGTGGACACTGAGGTCAACACTGAATGGTTACAGTCTGTTCCACACTTGAACGCAATCTTCAGACCATGAAGAATGTCTGAATAGCAGAAACACCAGATATTTCATGAGCAAATGGTAGACTTATAAATGTGTAAGATAGATTCTGGAGAGAAAAAATTGTCCAGCACAACACAGTGAACCAAATTTTCT